TCTATTGTGGACAGTCTTATCTCTTCCTCCATCATCTACTAGGGTAACAGAGCAAATTACCTTAAAAAACATTAACAGGCTAATTAAAAAGACCAGTTCTGTTCAAGGAACTCCTCTAGAAGCTCAGGAGATGATTTCACATAGAATAATTATTCATAAAGTCAAGAAGCTCATGGACAACTGTGAGCATTCTCTTGAGAAGATTTATAAGCAGCAAGATGTCCTCAGTCAGAGGCTTCTCAAGATCCGGTGCAAGCCAGACTGATACAGAAAATTCTTCCTGCCTGCAGCTATCAACACATAGAACACCTGGTAAAAACAACCAATGAGTAACTGCAACATTTACCTTTGGGATTAGTAAAGTATTTTTTTATTTAATTTTATTGAATCTTTAAGTTAAAGTTAGATGTTCCCAGACATTTAGCAGGAATCGTTTCCTGCTTTTCTCTTAAATTAAAGTAAGAAAAGAAACATCCAATATTAGTCTCAAGTAAAACCTAATAGGAGGAGCTCAAACTCTTTTTATTAGTTTTATATTTATTGTTGGGATCTGGAGGTTTGTCCACTTTCTCCACCAGAGGGCGCACGAGATCTCCTGGAGCATGAGCCGACCGCACCACCTGTCTCTCATCTGCTCATCAGGAGATCCGTACTTAAGGAGGCGGAGAGCTTCACTCCAGTGCCAGTGTTTTGCCAGTAACGGTTAGCATGCCTGAGCCAACCTGCCTGTCTGTGATCTCTGACTTTCTGTGAACCAAACCTGATCCCGTTTTTCTCCTCTCTGCCTCCCAGGTTGATCCTGCCTGAATACCTGAAACTCTGGAGAGTTTCTCTGCCGGTGATCTGTCTGCTCATTCTCAGTAGGACTCTGGAGAGCAGCCTCAGTCAAGTACCTGCCTGCCCGCTCTCAGAAGATTACTGGAAGGAAAACTCAATCAGTGATCTGCCTGAACTCAGTAAGCTCTGCCTCCGCCTCTGCCCTCAGCCAGCCGACAACCTCTGGACCGTCAAGGTTCCCCCCCTCTGCAGCTCTGCTCCATTTCCGAACAGGTACAGACCTGAACACTCACAACCAGCAAAAGACCTGGACCTCCACTAATCTCTCTGTCCTCCTCAGCAGTGAACCCACTCGTGACCAGTCAAGCCCCCTCTTGGATCTGAACATACTTGGTACATTTATTATTAATAAATCTTTGAACTTTTTCATCTGCCTCCGAGTGTTCTGCATGTGGGTTAGACACATTAATCCGAACATTCTTACTCAGTGTGAGGGATTGCTGAAGAGTCAACAGCACAATGTAAGCCAGTATCTGCTGTCGCCTCATGTTCATCCAGGAGAGAATCCTGCAAAGTCAATGACTGGATGTAATCAGCTTCAGATGCAATCAGACCATTTAGATCAGTGCATGCCTGAAGTACTAAAAAATCTGGCAAAAACGCAGGAATATGTTGGGTAACTTATGGGTACGTTTTGTTATGAGCACACTGAAGCACGCTGGCACACGTCGACATATGGCGAGAACATGAAGAAGCTTTTAGCATTTTCTAAATTTCCCAATGTATGCCATATTACATGTTATTTATCTGATTGTTGACATACGTTAAGTGTAAGTTACTCATAAGTCGTGGTGTCTAGCTTATTCAAAACCTATGAGTAACTTGTGCACAACTTATCAAAAGCTTATCTTCAACACATACAGCTACTGTATAATTCCACATTGGCAGTGTTTTAATTAGGGGTGGGTATTGGCAAAGAAGTCACGATTCGATTCGAATCACGATTTACATGCCACGATGCGATTCTATCACAATGCATCCTGATACTTGAAATATTGCGATGCATTGCTATATTTTCACTGAACACTGTAAGAAAAAGATACAGCCCTTACCAGTGGCTGACTGGCTGGGTGTGATCTGGATAGTGTCTTCAATTGATACATAACTGAAAGCAACTGAATTCATACATAGCTGCAATTATTGAAATGACTTTTGGAGGTGTTGGCATGAAAACAAATACTGGACACAAATATTACTATTACTGGTGTGGACACGCTGACAAAAAGATCTTAGGATTCATCAAACTTAAAATAACAAAATAAGGATAATCAGTGCCGTTTACATGGCCTCAGTGGTCCTTTAAACCAATGAAACGAAAACATTCAAAAGTATGACATTTCCCCTTTTGCAAATTACGTGCATCATATCAATGTTGTTATTACCTTCTTTGTTTTTAAAGCCAGAATGCATCCAAGCATCTGACTTGAAATGTGATGGAGCCGGGGGGCGAATTTTCATAGTGTCCTCCATGTTTTATTTCGTATGACTCGGCGTCAACACATCCGCAGCGACATCTGCTGGACTGGAAGTTGTATTCCACTTGGTTTGGCTGATGTGCGCCAACCATTAATGTATTTTATTATTTTATTTTAGTTTTTTTTTTATAATCGATTCTTGCCTTCAAGAATCGATGCAGTAGATCGCAAAAATTAGAATTGCGATTGCATGATGATTATTTTGCACACCCTTAGTTTTAATATAAGAGGGGGTTCACAGGAAGAAACAATGAGTTCTCCTCCATACATCATCCCCATTATAGGGTGAGCCAGAAGGTGAGTGTGAAGGATCCTCCCTGCGTTCATGCCCACGGCCAACAAACCTTCTAGCATACATGATGCTGAATCTGCTGTGACTGAAAACAACTCTTTCTTTTTTATTTCTATTAGGGATGCACAATATAATCAGTCCCCTATCGGTATCGGCCTTAAAACTGAATATCGGACATCGGCCACCCCACCGATATTTAACCCGATATTTGATCAGCTTCTGAGTTTCTAAAGTCAAAAAAATACTACTTCTTCTTCTTCCTCAAAAACTTCTTTTTTACAGACTTAAAAACTTCTAAAGACGAGGGAAAAAATATTGATACATTTAAATATCACAATATCTTCATATGCTGATATATTGCCATTTAAAAACACCATATCAATCTCTTTTACTAATTAAATATTGCTATATGTCATCGTTATGCTACGAAATCCCCCGAAAATTCACGAAATTTTGCCATATTTTTATATGTTGATATATTGACGCAGTATCGATCTATTTTACTAACAAAATCTCACAAGAATTTCCAAATATCACGAGAGTTTGTAACAGAACGATGAAATTTCACGAGATTTTGAAAGTAAAATAGATCGATACCACGTTTTTAAAAATCTATTTGATATCAGCATATGAAAATATATTTGAGTATATTATTTTTCAAAGTGTCAGAAATGGATAACAAAACTGCTATTTTCAATTACTACTTATTTTTGTCCAGCTTTAACATCGGTATCGGTTATGGGCTTCATGAGTTTTAAAATATCGGCATATCGGATATCGGCCAAAATCCCAATGTCGTGCATCCCTACTTTCTATGTATTTTTTTTTTGGGCGGGCAGCAAATAGCAGCTAGTTTAATACCGAGATCAAAGACATCTTTTTATTCAGACTGGGCGCCTTCGGGCGCATTGCTTCTCCCTTCAGGAGCAGCAATGCGCCTGAGGGGAGCAGCTTTAACTGATGCTGCAGTGCATTATACATAAGATTAGCTGCCGCTGGACATTGACTTGTTATGAATACGGTATGTTTACGCCCAAAATACATAGAAATTTCAGCATATGCCAGTGTTTTAGGAGATTCTGGGATGTAGGGCAGACGCTGTCCAAATCGGCAAGGTAAGACAGGGCCCTTAGATAGTAAACTTTTTGAATTGTCTCTTTGAGCTGCCTTAAGATGACGAGTTGTGAATTGGCGCTATAAAAATGAAATAAACTGAATTTCATTGAATTAAAAAAAAAATTTATTTATTGAAACTTGTGTTGTTTGAGTGTGTCACCATACCACACTGAACAATCCAAATCACATTTACTCAGCTGTTAATAGGGCTCACATATCATTAGCAATGTGATCCAAGTAAGCAGGGAGCAGCTCTGTATAGAAGCAGGCATCACATATTGTACTTTCAACTCACTAAACCTTAATAAAGAGGAAATATTTAAAGAGACATAAAGAGTTTTTTGTGTTAGAGCAGCTGTGCAGAGCCTTCCTCAGGTTTATGTTGAGGTAGGGGCGGATAATTATTAGCTTAAGTCAGAAACACAACATGGCGACAACTGAAATAGGACAACAACAAAAAATCAGTCAGAGGGAAAAAACATCAAGACATCAGCTGATGATGCATTTGAGTGATTCAACCATCTTTGTGATAATGTTTCATAAAAATGATGACCTTGGTTTTAGACTGAAAAGTTATCAAACATTTCATTTCATTAACCCTCAATGCTATATTGCTACTGCACTGGTCCATAAATGATGGATTCAATGTTGGATGAGAAAAATCCTATAGTGTAGAAGTGGCTTAATTTACCAAATTAACTTTAACTACTTCATTATACGTTGGTGAAATTATTTAATTTTTTGCAACAGTGAACTATGGACATGACCAAGCTCATTTTCGTCTGTGTAAAATTAACATTGAGCTTGTTTTTTTTAATTATGAACTGGAACAAAAATGTCTGTACCGCTGCAGTGCTTTTCAATTTTTTTCTTCTTTTCTATTTTAATTTTCTGTCCTGTTTTCATTAAATTTTATTCATTTCAGTATTTTAACTGTGAAGGAAGGAAGGAAGGAAGGAAGGAAGGAAGGAAGGAAGGAAGGAAGGAAGGAAGGAAGGAAGGAAGGAAGGAAGGAAGGAAGGAAGGAAGGAAGGAAGGAAGGAAGGAAGGAAGGAAGGAAGGAAGGAAGATGTATGATATTATCATACATATTAATACAATACATAGAAATATTAATATTTGGAATCTAATATCTTTCATTTTTAACCAGACATTGAATATCACTGAATGAAATTCCAGAACTTTTCCAAAAATTTTCCAGATTGTTTCAAATCCTGAATATCCAGGTGTTTGTAATGAATAGTTTTGATACTGTAGAAAGGCAGTATTTTCACACCAACCTGCATGTAGCTGCCCCTTTCCTCTTCCTCGCTCTCTCTTAGCTGGATGACATCATCATCTTCCTCATCTTCATCCAGCTCACTCTCCGTGCTGTCGCCTTTTACATGCATTATCCTGGGCTCCTCCTCCCCCTTTATGTGCACACCTATTCGCTCAGATGAATGGCTGCTGTCATCTGATCCCTCCTTCTGCAGCCTGAACAACAGAAAAAAACACATCAGAGTCTTCTAATTTGAACAGAAACATCGGTAACCTGGATTTATGTTTGGAAGTAAAGAGCTTTTACTAAACCTGTGTTGCCCCGCCCCTTCGTCTTCCTGCATGTCATTGTTCTCTGTTAGCTCCTCCTCTATCTCCTCAGGGTGAGTGGGTGGTGGTCTAGGGAGGTCCCCCCCTTTTGATAACATCTACATACCAAATGCAGTGTTACTGTACAGACCTATGACAGCTGAGGAAGATTGTGAACTGGTTATACCTTGTAGTGTTTCTCAAGGAAGTGCTGGTGCTGCTGTTGGACTACCAGCTGCTGCAGGGCCTGGGGTGACTGGGGTAAAGGAGCACTTTGTGTGCGAGCCAATGGTCGATGCCGGGGCAGCTTGGTGATGGGCCGCATTCCAGTGCTGACGCCTCTTTCTGCAGTAACCAGTGGTGATTGATTGTACATGGGCCCTGATTGGATGGAACAGTACTCAGTAATGACTGTATTGTTATTGTGACAATGTTAGGGTAGTTTTTAATTTGTTTTACCGAGCATAGCTGTTTGTTGTCGGGCCTGCTCCAGCAGCAGGACATGTTGCAGCAATGAGGAATGGGCTGAATGAGAGTTGGGGGGCGGAGTCTCCACATCATGAGCAGCACCTGTAAAGGAATCAAAAGACACCTGTCCACCAAAAGTATCCCTGGAATGTTTTGAGATTTTGTCACATTACAAGAAACTGAACTCTAGCCTAGTAGCTTGGCCTCGTCTGTTCCTATTTGGCTGTGACTCCATCCTGGAGAGAAATATCAGCTGTGCTGCTGTCATCTATGTGGTGTAATTTGTTATAAAAAGTTTTGTTTTATTGTGAAGGGCCGACAGGAAGCACTTAGGTACTTCTGGGTGGTGGTGGTGAGAAGCTAAATAAAAGAGACATAGTTGTTCTATGAAGAGTGGCCTGAATTCCTTTGAAAACCGCGAGCACGACATGGTGTAAGAGGTGGGGAGGATTGCCTGAAAGTAATATTATCGGAGAGTGACATTCACCATTCAGCCTCCAGAAGCATTTGATTTCGCAAAGCCACAGGAATGGGAAAAGTGGATACGCAGGTTTGAAAGATTCAGACTGGCTAGCAACCTACATCTTAACTCAGAGGCTAATCAAGTTAAGACACTCATATATTGTAGGGGAGATGAAGCAGCGACATTCTGCAAGGCCAGGTATTATCAGATGCCCAAAGACACCAATACCAAGCAGTGAGAGACATTTTGGATGCATATTTTGTGCCCAGAAAAAATATTATTTATGAGAGAGTCAGATTTAACCAGAGAGTGCAGCAGGTTAATGAGACTGTTCACTCGTTTGTCACTGCGCTTTATGCCTTGGCTGAAAACTGCAACTACAGTGCACGATGAGTAAATAAGAGATCGCCTCGTTGTGGGATTGAGAGACACCAGCCTGGCAGAGAGACTTCAAATGGATAAGGATTTGACGCTTGAGAAAGCAGTGAATAAAGCCCGCTAGTATGAAATCATAAAAAGGCAACAGACAGACATCAGGGGGGAAAATAAAGTGGAAATGGACGCTGTTTTGGCAAAACACAAAAAGCAGAAACATCCTTCCTACAAACCCCAAATTCAACCAAAGTACACTACAAAAGCAAGAACACCAAGTGAGAGATCATGCTACAGGTGTGGTAGCTCATGGAAAAGGACAATGCCCAGCAAAAGATGTGAATTGTTATACATGTGGTAAAAGAGGACATTACAGTAAAGTGTGTAAATCTGTAAAATCTGTACATGTGATAGAAACTGATGGCTGTAATGACACACTCATGTTCCTTGGTTCTGGGTCTGACCCCTGGTATGCAGACATTACTATCTGAAATCACAAAGTTAGATGTAAGATAGACACTGGAGCTGATGTATCAGTTATTCCATCCCAGACACACTTCCACACTAACCCAAAAAGGAGAGAGCTGTGTAAACCAGATAGAACTTTTAAAGGACAACTACCCCAAATTGTGTCAGGGTTTAGGGGCAATACAGCAACCGTACACCATTAAGTTGAAACCTGATGCTGTACCTTTTTTGCTGGCCACACCCAGACGAGTCCCCATCCCTTTGTCAGGAAGAGTGAAACAGGAACTGGGGAAGATGGAGTCAATGGGAGTCATCAGCAGAGTTGAAGAGCCAATGGAATGGTGTTCAGGTATGGTCCCAGTGCCAACTAAAATTGGATCAGTGCGCATTTGTGTGGACCTCACTCATCTTAATGAAGCAGTGTGCCGGGAAAAATACATCCTGCCCTCGGTTGAACAAACACTTGGATCCCTGGCTGGAGCAAAAGTTTTATGTAAGCTCGATGCAAACAGAGGCATTTGAAAGGTTCCACTGTCATCAGAGTTAGCAAACTACACAACATTTATCACGCCTTTTGGACGCTACCATTTTAACAGACTTCCTTTTGGGATTCCCTCAGCCCCAGAACATTTTCAGTGTAGAATGTCAGTAATCCTAAATGGACTGCAAGGTGTGGTTTGTCACATGGACGACATTCTGATTTGGGGACAATCCGTGCTTAAGAAGGTGCAAGAGGCTGGAGTCACGTTAAACATGGATAACTGAACAAACAGGAAGTAAAATTCGTAGGACACATCTTGCCTGCAGATGAAGTTCGACCCGACCCAGACAAAACAAAAGCTGTAAAAGGAATGGAGGAACCAACTAATGTCAGTGAACTTCGCAGTTTCCTTGGGATGGTTAATAATTTGGGCAGATTCATTCCAGGACTGGTAGACAAAGATAAGCCCCTGTGTGATCTCCTGTCAAAGAAAAATCTATGGGTTTGGAGCTGTGCACAACAAAAAGCGTTCAATCAACTGTAAAATGATCTGACGTCGACACCAGTCCTCAGACTTTATGACCCAAATAAAGAGTTGAAACTGTCAGCAGATGCCTCATCCTATGGTATGGGAGCCGTTCTATTTCAAAAGGAGGAGGAGAAGTGGAGACGTGTAGCATACGCATCACCCTCCCTAACAGAAACTGAACAGAGATGGGCGCAGGTGGAGAAGCAGGTGCTTGAGCTAACGTGGAGATGTGAAAGATTTAAATACTTTCTTATTGGGAGACAGTTCTCCTTAGAAACGTACCATAAGCCACTTATCAGCCTGCTAGGACAACAAGCACTTACAGAGCTTCCTCCCAGGATCCAGCGGTTTTGACTTAGGCTTATGAGGTATAGCTACTCTATCACCCACACTCCAGGTAAAGCTCTCCTTACAGCAGACACATTTTCACACGCACCCGTTAACCAAGATCCAGATCCTAGAGCTAACATTTATGTGGATGAAATCATCAGAAGCCTACCTGCTAGCTCAGCATACATCACACAGCTGAAAGAAGAGCTTATAACAGACAGTAAATGTTCAGAGGTTATCTCATATTTTCAGAAAGATTGGCCAGACTACAGCTTTCTTTTTGGCCCTATAAAAACATATTGGCCACATAGAGACTCTAACTGTTCTGGATGGACTGTTATTGAAAGCCACCACACTTGTTATTCCAACCACTATGCGGAATTCTGTCTTTGTCGCCCTACATGAGGCACATCAGGGAATGTCCAGATGCAGAGAACGCGCCAGAGAGACAGTGTGGTGGCCTGGTCTGAGTGGTCAAATCAACAAACTTGTGAAAACTGCTCGGTATGCATAAAAGACTGTGCCAACCCTGTGGAGCCTTTAATGCCTAGTGAGCTCCCGGAGAGACCCTGGCAGAAAGTCGGAACAGATCTTTTCACCTGAAATGGCAGTAATTATTTACTTCTGGTGGACTACTACTCCAGGTTTGTGGAGATAGCTAAGCTCACTCCTACGAGATCAGAGGATGTCATCGTGCACCTGAAGTCGATCTTTTCCAGACATGGAATTCCTGAGCTTTTCTACAGTGACAACGGTCCTCAGTTCTCTAGCCAGCAGTTCAAAGACTTTTCAGCAGCCTATGGGTTCAGATATATAACCAGCAGCCCAAGGTTTGCTCAAAGTAACGGCAAGGCTGAACGGAATGTCCAAACTGTAAAAAGGCTATTAAAAAAAAGCAAAATACCCCTATCTTGCACTTTTGACCTATCGTGCAACCCCATTGGCAAATGGATATAGCCCAGCTCAATTACTAATGGGACGGAGACTTCGCACCGCTGTACCAAAACTTCCCTCCTTGCCCTTTCCCAGTTTGCCACACAAGAATGCGGTGGAGTCAAGAGAGAGAGAGAGAGAGAGAGAGAGAGAGAGAGAGAGAGAGAGAGAGGGGGGAGAACAAAGGTCAGCTAAGTATTCAACAGAAGACATCAGGTTCGAGACACCAAAATCAAAGGGATTGTCATCTCACGTCACTCCAAGCCCCGTTAATATGTGGTGGGGAGCCCTTCTGGTGCCATCAGGAGGAACAGACATCACCTATTGCCACTATTTACGTCACACCAAAGGAACAATTACCCAGTACACCAACAAGTCCTACAAAGGACACCTCGTCCACACCAAACCAGTCTGAGAATGAAAGTCAGAAGTCAAGGACAGTTTTCATAGCTCCTGTCAGAACAAGATCAAGAGAAACAAAAGAAGTTCAGCGCATATAAGAGAAGAAATTTGATGTTATAAAGTTGATTTGTGTGAGTGTTCACATAGTGCATTGTTTTCTAAGAAAGGGGGATGTGGTGTAATTTCTTCTAAACAGTTTTGTTTTATTGTTAATGGCCAACAGGAAGGACTTAGGTACTTCCGGGTGGGGGTAGCGAGAAGCTAAATAAAAGGAGACAAAGTTTTTCTACGAAGAGTGGCCTGAATTCCTTTGAAAACTGCTAACACGACATGGTGTCAGAAGTCGTGAGGATTGTCTGAAAGTAATGAACTGGATTTGCCTTCTTCATCCTCTGACATGGGAGCTGGCTCAGAGCTTGTCTGCCTGGCTCTGTGTTTCCTGGACGGAGCTACCTGTGGAGCTGGTTGCCTTTTGTTTCTCTGCTTCTGTCTCCTTTAACCCCACTTGGCCTTGGCAGATGGGCGCTCACACTGAGCCTGGTTCTGCTGGAGGTTTATTTCTGTTAAAAGGGAGTTTTTCCTCTCCAAAAGCTTGCTTAGTGTCCGAATTTTAGGTTCACTTATTGGGTTATCCGATAATCCGAGGACCAACCACCGATGCCGCCGGGTCCTTGGTCCTGGGATTATTGGATGTGAGTGTTTTGAAGGTGCATCCGCGTATTTTTGGCTCATCTCTACAGAGTCTGTGTGGTATGAGTGGGGGGCACTAAGGTGGGAAGGCATGACTAAGACTGTGAGTTTATTTTGTTTGTTTTTGTTTTTTCAGGTTGGGGTCTGAACTGCTCCCTCTCCCAAGCACATCTCCAGTCTACTCCAAATGCGGAGCCCATTCCCCTGTCCTGTTCTCTCTCTGCTGGCTGGCGCCTGGGCTTGCAGGTACACTGGTGGAGCTTGGGGTTTGGGGGTGGATGCCCGGGTGGCTACTGGCTTATTCCTGGTGGCTTTTCCACAGGGCCTGGCCGGCCAGGGGCCGGCAGGGGCTCTCGCCGGCGGGTGGGGCACCACTGGGGCCTCGAATCCCTGGGGCCCATGGCCGGATTCACTTCGGGGTTGCTGGCTGCCGGTGGAGCCTGTGGACTCGTCGCCGTGGCTCCCGGGGGTTCCGGCATTGTGGCGGCTGGGGGACTTCCTCAGGGCTGTCTCTCCTCCTCCCTTGGTGGGGGTCGGATCTCCTGGGTTGGCCCCTCCTTGGCGCCTTCTCTCTTGGGGTCCCTGTGGGCGTCTGGGGTCCCCCGGCACTGGACTCAGTGCTCTGGAGGGGTACCTCTTCTGCTTTTCACAACCACTATTGAGCGTTTTTTCATTGTATAAACTTTACATGCACAAGTGCACTCTCACAAACAACTACAGGTGCTTGGTTCCCGGTTCTTAGAGATTCACTTCCATACAGAAAGCCCATATTCTTATCTTCAGGTAACACAGAATACATGTCAGATTAAATAATACCACTTATATTTCAGCGATAGTATCTAGGTGTTACTTAATTGTATGCCTTGTACCATGTCCGTTGGTTGTGCCATTATTTTTACATCTCTTTGCAGGTGATGAAGCAGACTGGAAATGTTTTATCACTATCTCTCTTTTATTTCCTCTTTCTTTCATCTTTTCTCCTTTTTTGTCTGTTTTTCCTTTCCTGTTCTACTTACATTGCGTTGTCCAATTAATCTGTAAAACTCCCTGCATAATAATAATAAAGCAATTTATATGTATAAAACAAGCGGAACACTATGTCGATAGCCGTACTGCTCCACTTGTGAAAGTAAAATCTGTTGGGCTCTTTTTGGCATCAAGACAATTATTCTTATTGCCACATTGCCAGACAGGACACTGTTACTAAAAAAATTAAAAAGAATACGGAATTAATATGTAACCAGTTAAAAACTGAGCAACAACCAGGCTCATTATGTGCATACATACTCAAACATCAGGGAGTTTATGACAGAGAACATTTAACCCAAACTGATTGTTTTAGACTGTGGACGTAAGACACAGTTTCCAGAAAGAATCCAAGCATGCACAAAGAGAGCAGGCAAACTTTAAGCACAAAGACAAACTGAGGAGTTTGTTTTACCAACTGCAGCTTGAAAATGATAAATGGCTTTTAAGATAATTTACAAATAATGTAAACGTGAAAAGTATGATGTGCTTTTGTCCTCAGTTCTGATCTGTTTTTAGCTAGAAGCTCCATAATTGACAATCTAACTTAATAATATCATATTTTTATGGCAAAATGAGTCGCACTCTATCTACTAAACCTTTCTTCTTCTCTTGCCTGTATAACCTGCAACTTTAAGCAGCAATATATTTCATGTAAATATAAATATATAATATATATATATATATATATATATATATATATATATATATATATATATATATATATATATATATATATATAGTATTTATATATAATATATAAATATAACTATGTGTGATAACCTGCTCTGTTGAATTAGTCGTCTATTACACCTTAAGCCGAGCATACATTGTGCGATATTTTCAATCTTTGCACGCAGATACAACTTAAACTGTATGATGAAATCGCAGGGTTTAGAACTTCACAGCTTACCAAAATATTTACAAAAACGGCAGTTCAGGGGGCTTTTGTAAAGCACTGTAGATGCTAATCGAATGTTTAAATGGTGCATTAATCTTGGTGCTCGTCTGCCTGGCCGTGTGTTTCCTGGACGGGGCCGCCTTTTACAGCTGCTTTTTCTATGTCTGCTTCTGTCTCCTTGAACCCCAGCCGGCCTCGGCAGATGGCCGCTCACACTGAGCCTAGTTCTGCTGGAGGTTTCTTCCTGTTAAAAGGGAGTTTTTCCTCTCCACTGTCGCTACAAGCATGCTTAGTGTGAGGGATTGTATTTGAGTCAATGAGTCAATGCAATCAACTGGTTTTCCTTAGATAGAAAACTTTGTATCAATTTGACTGTATGATCTGGTTGAACTGTAAAGTGCCTTGAGATGACATGTGTTGTGAATTTGGCGCTATATAAATAAACTGAATTGAACTGAATTGAATCTTACCTGCAGGTATGGAAGAAGTTGAGAGGAACTTTCCCGTAAGAGCTCCGCCCCCTCGTAAGGACTGGATGGCCTGATGTTCTGCCTCTTGCTGATTGGTCAGCTTCTGAGGCGCCTGTGAATGGAAGGTGTCTTTGATGTTAAATTAAGGACCAGGTATAGAAAAGAAAACAAAATAAAGCTTAAGTAACAAATACGCTAGAAAGCAGGTGCCTGTTAAATGTCAGCCAGCTAATCAACAATGTATCACAAACACACAGAAATCTATAAGGTGACGTCTACAATAAAAAAACTGGTATATACATTGTTCTTATATGAAAGAAAGAAAGAAATGGCCTTTATATTGAAATCATCTTCAAAACTATTTTATTTTCCTCTCCCAGGTGGAGAGACAAACTACTTACATTCAAAGCACAGCCATTTTTATAATTTTTATATTACTGTTCATACAGGTACGTATATATGTATATATACACATATAATTCAATTATATACATATGTATATATGTATATTTACACATATATGTATATATATATATATATATATATATATATATATATATATATATATATATATATATATATATATATATATATATATATATATATATATATATACACATATATGTACACATATACATATATATGTATATATATGTATATACACATATAAGTGTCCTTTTGTTTAAAGCAATGTCGATCCAAAGAATCTGCCCAAAAATGGCAGCACATATCGGTGATTGGTTACACTGATGTCAAAATAATGGTTGTTGGCATGGGCCTTGGAAATCCCTTTGAAAAGACTGGTATTCCTTACTTCTCTGCTCTACAAAAAAATCTTATGGAAATGTTGCTATAAGAAAAAAATCTCATTATCTGCAGGACTAATACCACCAAGCAAAAACATAAAATGTGGAGGTTTAATACATTTAAGCAATGACTTACTGTGATGTGTGTGTTGGCTGGAAGGCCTAAGGAGATATTGGGTAGGGAGGGTGAAGTGTAGAGGCTAAGATGACTCAATGTCCCATCAGCCCCCAGAGTCTGATGAAGAGATCTCAGCTGCAAGACAAACAGTCAGCTTAGAGCCATTTTCATCCAAAACATGAACATTCTGCTTCCAACATTCAGTCAATAGAAAAATTTAATCAAAAAGAAGATTCATCAGTCTTCAAAGGTATAAATTTCACTGGTTTTATCACAACAATTAGCGGAGACCATGGAGCTACTGTAGGTAAAAAACGTTTTCATTGTTTTTGGTTTTTTTCACAAATGTAGATTTGAGAATGAAAAATGTCCAAAATCAAGTATTTAAACCAGTGTGACTGTTATTAAACAAGTGTTTTGGTCAGAAGCTTTCCCACAACCACTGAAAGACAGAGCCCTGCTGGTAATCTGTCCTGCCTACAGCCATCAGCATCAACAAAAATCCCATACAGACCATAATAGGATTTAACCCAAATGTCATTTCCAAACCTGAATTTAAATGATTTCCATGGCATAGTCGAATTGAGTGTGGGAACCAAGACTCTGGATTGACCACCATCACACCAAAAAACTAATTATCTGGGATCCTTGGTGAAGTAGACCCAAACCAAAGTAAAAACAGGTATTTGACATAATCTCTGCTGCTTCAGGCTAAACTATCAGGGTTCCAGTAGCCAGTAGACGGTTATGGGTAAGATGTGCTCTCTTCATCCTCTGACATGGGAGCTGGCTAGGAGCTCATCTACCTGCTGATTTTCCTGGACGGGGCCGCCCATGGAGCTGGTTGAAAAGTTCTTTTTGTATCTCTGCTTCTTTCTTTATGTCTGCTTCTTTCTCTTTGAACCCCAGTCGGCCTCAGCAGATGGGCCTGAGCCTGGTTTTGCGGGAGTTTTTTTTTTTTTTTTACTATTAAAAGGGAGTTTTTCCTCTCCACTGTCGCTGCATGCATGTTTAGTGTGAGGGATTGCCTTCAAGTCAATGAGTCTAAACAATCAACTGGTTTTCCTTAGATAGAAGTGTTTTAATCAATTTGACTGTTTGATCTGGTTGAATTGTCTCAATAAAGGGCCTAGAGATGACATTTGTTTTGAAATTGGCGCAATATAAAAAAACTGAATTGCTGGATTGAATTGAACTGAACTGAAAAGCTTTCCATATAGAAAGAAAGCTAAAAACACACAAATAACAAATCTATTTTTATCAACAAGTGAACTGAATTCACAAACTTTGTGCTTTCATTTTGGGCATACGGCCAAACATTATCCAGAGATTTGGTTCTATTGGCGCTGTTGTTGATGGGGGAGATGCAGTGGAGGCATTTCAGAGACAAGGGTCGAACAGAACGGAGAAATACCTGCTGCTTCTCACTAACTTAGTTTTGAAACTTTGCATGTGTGACTCCACTGCCTTGATTCCCATAGTGCCTCATCTACAATCCTGGCTATGGGTTTCACCATGCAGAAAACTGAATTTCGTTAATTCTACACTTCCCCATGTTGTCAAGATAAAAGTTAGTGGCGCGTTACGCCAAGTCTGGCTACAACATCGTTTTTATTGCTTCCGCTATCAGGACAGAAGCAATAATGGTTACACACTGCAAAAAAATTTAAATCTGAATGTGTCAGGTTAATTTTTTCTTGAATTGAGGAGGGAAGTGAGACACTTTGCCAAGGGAACAAGACAATTTACATGTAAAATATAATAAAAAACTTGTCTTAGTTTAATTGCATATTATCTAATTACCTTAATTTAAGAGTAAAAATACTCAATCCATTGGCAAGTCATATTATTTACCTACTTAAATAAAGGGTAAATACACTTGATATAAAGCATTTTTACTTATTTCTAGATTGCTTTTGCAGTGCAGCAAGCCATTCGGTAAATGTAAAAATATAATCATTTCATTATTTCAATGTTTGGTATGGATTTCAAAAAAAATTCTATTTATGATGCAGTAACAATTTAAAGACCTGTGACAGGCAGCGTTAGTTTTTCACTGAAAAATTCAATGGATTTTAAGACTTTTTAAGGATCCGCGGGAAGCCTGACTCAGATTGTGTTTGTTAAACAAAAGTTTACTATCTCCAAAGGCAGAGCCTTAGTACTGGGATGAACAAAGGGTTCAGATTCTAACCTAATGACAAAATAACTACTTTCCACAAATTAGATTTATCAAAATGTTTTATAAATTCAACATAAAAAACCACTTTTGATTCTAATACACCGTGAAGACATCAACAAAGTAGATGTCTAAGTCGCTGTGGAGAAAAAGCTGATATGAGCAAATATGAGAATGAAAAATGGCATTTCAGGCTTCATTGCACCCAAAGTAGAAAGGGTGGTAGATCTTTTAGTTATCAGGCTCCTCTCCTGTGGAACCAACTACCAGTTTTGTCCGTGAGGCAGACACCCTGTCTACTTTTAAGGCTAGGCTTAAAACTTTCCCCTTTTACAAAGCTTCTAGTTAGAGTGGCTCAGGTTATCCTGAGCTATCTCTATAGTTATGCTGCTATAGGCTTAGACTTCTGGAGGACACAAGGAGCTATTTTTCATTGTTCTGCTTTATTCTACCTCTATTCTCCCACTGTAGGATCTGTTAGTTCAATCTCTAACATTCTGCTCTCTCTGCTTTTTCTTATAGTAGCTTCATCTGGTTTGTTCCTGTTTGGCTGTGACTCCATCCTGGAGATAAATAATATCAGCTGTGCTGCTGCCATCAACGAGTTTGTGTATAGATGTCCAAGGCTACGTTCACACTGCAGCCTGAAGTGACCCAATTCCGATTTTTTTGCCCATATGTGACCTGTATCTGATCTTTTTATGACAGTCTGAACGACACAGATCGGATTTCTTTAAATGCGACCCAGGCCACTTGGATATGTGGTCCTGAATCCGATACGTATCTGATCTTTTCAAATGCGACCTGTGTCTGTACGGGCAGGTCGCATTCATCCGACCTACACGTCATTGACACTTGACAAATGTTACTAAACGTTACTAATCTGCGTCCTACTAAGCGGAGGCGGGAAAAACTAACAACCATGGCGGAAGATAAAACAGAGAGCAGTCAATGGAGAGAAAGTGAGGTTGCTGACTTACTTTTGATCTTCTTAAAAAGATTTCGTTCGTAATGTGCCTGCTCCTGTTGGAGAAGAACTTAAAGAACGCAATATACACTGCGGTATTACGAGTCATGTTTACTTCCGCAAACACTGAGGACGCTTGCTACATGTGACTTCATTGCGTCCTCGAGTGCGCATGCGGGACACTTCGGTTGAACGCTTTCAGTTCACACAGTAGATCACATACAAGTCGCATATACTTGGAAGTGTGAACGGACACGCAAAAAAATCAGATTTCACAACAAAATCGGAATTGAGCATTAAGGCCTGCAGTGTTAACGTAGCCCAAGATCGGCCTGTTTTTCAGGGTAGTCCTGTTTCTCTGACTAACTGAATGTGCTCTCTTCATCCTCTGACATGGGAGCTGGCTCGGACCTCATCTACCTGGCTGTGTTTTTCCTTGACGTGGGCGCAGTTGCCTTTTGTATCTCTGCTTTTTTCTGTATGTCTGCTTCTGTATCCTTGAGCCTCAGTCGGCCTCAACAGATGGCTGCTACAAGCTCGCTTAGTGTGAGGGATTGCCTTTGAGTCAATGAGTCGATAGTGGTTTTTCTTTGTTAAAAAACTTTGAATCAATTTGACTGTATGACCTGCTTGAATTGTTAAGTGCTTGAGATGACATGTGTTGTGAATTGGCGCTATAGAAATAAACTGAACTGAATTAAAACTGCACCCGACTAAGATGGCCCAGGCTACAATATACAAGGGAGAATGTTATACGCTTCTTATCTGCATCGTCTCACCAGTTTCAGTGGGCAAATCTTCCCCATAACCTGTTGTTAAATTTGTATGGTCTTAAATGTTAGATATAATGTGCATTCAAGACATTAGTTTTATGCTGTAACTGGTTTTAAGCAAACTATATGACCTTTAGGAAATTGACTGCACTTCTAAGACTCTTTCATCTAAAAAAACATGTAAAGAATTAATTTAAAAAAAAAAGAGGGAGTTTCACAAAATACAGCAAACAAGGTTGACACAAACATCCTCTGAATAATTGGTGTCTGTTCTTATTATTATGTTTGAGTCACATTCAAATAATGTCCAAATGTCCCATCTTTCATTTTTAAACCATCTGTCCAGCTGGCAGCCCACCAGTAAATATTACACTTACAATTTTCATTCAATTGTTTCTATTCAGTTGAATAAAAACATTATCAGTATAATTCATTAATGAAAATTAAATCTGAATAAATTAAATGCATTATTTGATGAAACAAGTACGTTACTTTCATTTTGCTAAAGCTAATTAATCTTTAATAAAAATACTGATTACTGATCCGGCCAGTCTTGACTTGTTTATGAAAAGGTAGAGACTGAAAAACTCATGGAACAGACCTATTAACTTTGCTTGAATAATTTAAGTTGTGAATCTCTACCTCAGTCTGTATGTTGGGGACTGATCCCGTGTTGCCATTGGCGATCGCTGTGTTGGAACTGTTGGGACTGCTGGGACCTGAACCTGGAGCGCTATTACAGAGGGTGGAAACTAGGACAGAAATCGAGAAAATGGTTTCAAGTCGCTTTTCAGGCTTTGGTGGTTTGTTCGTCTTCTCTACTTTAGAAAGAAAGAAGTCTTTGCTTACCTGATATCTCAATGGCCCTTTTCTTGAAGGCGCTGATGACGGTTCCGTCCTTCCTGCGCAGGAGCGGGGAGCTACGCCTTTCTGCCACTTTTTGCTTCAACCTGGAGCGGACCTTCAGATTCGGCTCCGAGACTGAACAAGTCCGACATAGAGAGATGGCGACAAAGGGACTGTCTGTAGAACTTTTTCAGATTTCAAATATTGCTGAACATTTCATTTGGCAGTTTGGGAATTTCAACCTTCAATGAAGCCTGCAAAGTAAATCCTCAGTCGTGAGGATTTCAGAGATGAGTGTAGTAGAAAATACTATGAGTATTTCAGTATTTTCCAGACCATGTTTTTCAGATGAAAAATATTGATCTGTAAAACATTTTACTATCATGTAACTATGGAGAGTGGTGAGTGCTGGCAATGCACTACATAAATTTGTTAAGACTGTGATCCTGGTGAAGACTGTCAGTCATCCAGGTCATAGTCATTCCATAAACATTAAAAAACAATCCACTGGACTTTGTTTCCAAGTTCTAAGGCATTTTGCTTCCCATCCAAGAAGCTTTTTCAATTAATAATGTCAGAAATAGTGTTGAGTTCAAGGCTTTATACAGTAGCCCAACAAACGGGCGGACGAACGGGTCCAACCCTTTGAAACGGGGGTCGTTTGGCTTCTTTGTTAGCCTGCAAAGCCACATACCAGTCTATATCGCTGAAAGGCGGGTTGTTCCTGGATGGGAAGTGAAATGTCCTCAAACTTGGAAACAAAGTTCAGTGGTTTGTTTTTTTTAACTGTTTTGGAATGACTATGTGCCGGATGACTCAGAATCTTCACCAGCACAAAGCACACTTATGTTTTAATAAATTATCATGGATCTTTCTTGGTTTGCAACAGGGGTGTCAGGTAACAAAGTAGAAATACTTTGTTACCTTAAGTAGAAATTTTGGCTATCTATACTTTACTGGAGACAACTTTTTACTTCTACTCCTCACATCTTTTTCAATTTCCTCAAATTTCTACTCCTTACGTTTCAAAAACAGACTTGTTATTTTTGTTCTTTTTAAGCTAATTTTCATTATGGCCTGTTGGTATGTTGTTAAAACATCCAAATAATTTATATCAGCCAGACAATTTCTTTGTGGTTGGACTTGGTGCAGGATCAACTTGTTGTTTGCCACATTTATGCTGCAAAGTTAAATTTGAGACTATTACCAATAGTTATAAAGCTTTGAAAATTAAGTTTAAGCAAGTTGTCATCTAGAATTGCAGAAAAATTATCTTAACATTTTTTCCTGCATTACTTTTACATTTTTACTTTAAGTAGTTTTAAAAGGTGTACTTTTACACTTTTGAGTAAAAATCTTAAGTTCTACAAAAGTTTTTTTAAACAGTAGGATTTATACTTCTACTTGAGTGATAAACATAATAAATCAATATAAACATAATACTTTTGACACCTATGGTTTGCAATATACCAGGTATGGAATATGATGTTTACATTTAAAATAATAAAAACAAAATATCTGATTAATTTTTTATTCCAGTGCAATAAAGGGAACACTGAAATAACACATCATAAATATTCTTATTTAATACTTTGTTGAATGTGCTGAAAACAAAATTACACAAAAATCATGAAAGGAAATCAAAGCAGAAAAAAAATTCAGGCTGATCCAACTTTGACATAATGTCCTTAAAACTGGTCAAAATGAGGCTCAGTACCGTGCGTGGCCTCCATGGGGCTGGATAAGCTGCCTATAACCGCTGGGCATGCTCCTGATGAGATGTGCTCAGTCAGATTCAGGTCTGGGTAACATGCAAGCCAGTCCAGTTCAATGATTTTGTGTTACAGGAACTGCTGACACACTCCAGCCACATCATGTCTAGCTTTGTCCTGCATTAGGAGGAACCCAGGTCCAACTGCAACAGCATATGGTCTTAGAGGGGTCTGAGGATCTCATGTCGGTACCTAATGGGAGTCACTCTTGCGAGCGCATAGAAGGCTGTATGAAACGCCTCCTCACACCCTTACTGACCCCCTGCCAAACCGGACATGCTAAAGGATGTTGCAGGCAGTATATCGCTGTCTAGGGTAGCTCAAGACACTGCTACGTCTGTCGCATGTGCTTAGGTAGAACGTGCTTTCATCTTTGAAGAGCACAGGGAGCAGGTGATGAATTCGCCAATCTGGTGTTCTATGGCAAATGCCAAGCGTCCTGCACGGTTTTGGGCTGTGAGCACAAGCCCTATCTGTGGAGTTCATTTTGCAGGGGTCTGGCAGTGCTCCTCCTGTTCCTCCTTGTACAGAGGTGGAGGTAGCAGTCCTGCTGCTGGGTAGCTGCCCTCTTACAGCTTCCTCCATGTCTCCTGGTGTACTGGCCTTTCTCTTGGTAGCGCCTCATGTCTCTGAACACTACGCTGATGGACACAGCAAACCTTCTTGCCACAGCTCTGCGCCATCCTGGACAAGCTGCACTACCTAAGCCATTTGTGTGATTTGTAGAGTCTGCCTCATGCTGTTGGGGAGGGTGAAAGAACCACAAACATTCAAAAATGGCCAAAAAATATGGCCAAAACATCAGCCGTAATGAGAAGTGATCTGTGGTCCCCACCTGCAGGACTCATTTGAGTGTGTCTTCCTAATTACCAATAATTTCCAATTGCTTACACTTATTGGTTATCAATGTCAAATGCTGTTTAGCATTTGACATTGATAACCAATAAGTGTCTTAACAAGTGGACAGTTTGATTTCACAGAAGTTTGATTTAACTAATTTTATTTTCTGAGCAGTGCATTCATCAAATTTTAGGTGCCAAATCTTTACTCATTGTTATATGAATTTTTGCATTGATGGAGCAAGATTTAAGTTCATTTAACTCTGATAGTATACTGGCAATTTTATTGCTAATAAGACAATTTTACATTTCGAATAATCAAATTACAAATATCAACTTAAAAATATTGCGATATCTGTTTTTTGTCCACATCATTTCCAGTAGCAGCCATTCAAAATGGCCCTTCCCAGCCAAATGGCAGCCCACTTCCCTCCAACTCCCAGCGAAATCCCCACCAACTTCCAGCCACTGGAGTGACCCCCATCTTGCATCTTTTTTTACTGACTCCACCCTTTAACGGAATTACATGATCTGACCTGGAGATGACGGTTCTCTTTAGATCTATATGTTCACAAATCGTGACAGAAAGAATATTTTAGTACAAAGATTAATGTTTAAAAAGGAATTAAAGGGGACCAGCCAAGGGCCCATCAAGGAAAGTCGATAAATTTTGAATGGCTTCTACTGTTTCCTCACCAAATGACTCAACTTTTTCACGTTAAAAAGCATGACACAGGAACAGATCTGTTCTGAGTAGTCTGCTACATGTCATCATAACAGATGCTCTCTTGCAGCAAAGGACAGTGGGACTGCTCATTTCTCAATCATGGCATAGAGTTGTTAAATCTCTACATTGTGTTTGGATGCACTTTGTTGTCAGTCGTATTAAAGAAACGGTGTTAGCTCAAACAGGAGCATTGTGACATTACAGTCTGAATGAGCAGTGTTCACCTGTGCAAGAAATAAGGCAACTTTTTGATGTTGATAAATAACTCAAAATAAAGACTGCTTTCTGCGCTTCTCACCCGTCTTTCTGAGAGGGAAGTCATCTTTACCCTCATAGTTGCCGAGCAGAGAGGGGAGTTTATAGGAGGGAGGGGTTCCGGGGGTGTTACTCTGAGGTGGAGAGCTCTGCTCCAATGAGGTGTGCTGGCCTCCCCTGCAGTTACAAACACACACATTAGATAGCAGCTAACCAATGTCTTTGTTTTCTTTAAGAGGCTTTGTGTTTTATTTCTAAAGTTAATCTTTTGCTAAAAAAAAAAAATATTCTGCTATTCTATGAATGAGATTAATTCCACCACGTGTCTCTTCCCATCAATTTCTTCCTGCAATGAAATAAAAGCTTAAAAGGTTTAGGAAAAAGCTTCAGACATGCTAAGAAGATCCACCTATCAACTTCAGGCCAGAAGCCGGGGGGGGGGGGGGGTTATCACACATCTGCACACAAATTTTATACTCAATATCAATACCAAGTAAAATAATCAATGCTTGGTTGATAGCATAGGGATAAAAAAAAAATAACAATTGACAACCCTAGTGCATTCCAAATGATTCCAAAAGTGAAAAAGTAACTCCTCTTGTTATAACTAGACAGGCATATTTGTTATAAATGCTTGTCTATAAATTGATACTGACTAATAAGAGAAGACATTTTCATGTATGGTGAGAAATGCAACAACAAGTTACAATTCTGTTTTTAGCATCCTTTAAAATAGGGCAGCAACTAAAGATTATTTTGCAAATCGATTATCTGTCGATTATTTTTAGATTAATCGATTAATAATCTGATAGCCAAAGGTTCCTTAAAGAAGATTTTTTATGAAAGTAAACCAGGTAAAACTAAAACTTTACCACTTCAAGAGTTCTGTATAAAGAATATTGACAGATGAAACTTTTTTTTAATCTTTAATGCAAAATGTTTATGTATATATATTTTTTTATAATTTTGTTATAATTGCTGCTCTAAGTGGGTCGCTCTGGAAGCTAAAGGGCAGTTTTACAGTCTCTATGCTCCAGTTAATGATTAATCAATTACTAAATTAGTTGAGGATTATTTGGATAATCGATTAATCAGATTTTTTCAACCTTACAATAAAACATAGCCTCCCTTGACTTAACTGGGCTGTTATTAGTTGAATTAAAAGTGTTTACACTACTGAATGCCACATTTTTTACATTGAAAACCATCAACACCACCCCGGCCGGCTCCGGCGGGGGTGGTGTTGGGGGGCCGGTCTGGGCGGGCTGGCTGCGCTGGCTGGGTATTCGGGTGGGTTTTCCCTCCTGGAGGCATGGCGGGGCTGCTCTGTTCCCGCTGATCACGGCGGGTGGGGCTGCGGGGCGGGTGGGGGCCTGGAGTGGCTATGGCCGGCGCGTGTTGGGGGGCCGGGGCGGCGGAGCTGCTCTGGCCGTGTGTCAGGGCCTGGTGCGGGCGGCGGGGGGGGGGGGGGGGGGGGGGCGGCGGACGTGGCTGAGCTGCTTTGGCTTCGTCCGGTGGGGGGGTGGCGCGGTTCGCTCCGCTCTGGCTTTGTGCTGCCCCTCGGGCTGCTGGGGGGGGTGGTTGCGCCGGCTGCGGTCTGCTCTTCTTGCGGTTTTGCGCCGGGCGGCCTTTCTGCTCTCGGGCTGATTCTGTGCGCGGTGTGTTTCGTTGCGCGCTGTTGGCATCGGACTCGGTGGGGTGGGGCTTCGCTTTTGGCCGGGGGGGCGTTTTGGAGGGGTCCCGCGGCGCTCGCGGCCGGTTCGCGGCGGATGCGCGTGGGCCCCGGCCGGGGGCAGGGCCGCCTGAGTGTTTATCCTGGGTGGTGCGGTCGCGGTGGGTGTTGCGGCCGGTCGCCGGGGCTTGGTGCCGGGGGGCGGGGCGTGTTTCGGTGCTCTGTGGGGCTGGGGCGCTTCGGTCGGCGCCGTGGGGGGGGCTGGTGTTCGGTGCCCGGCCCTACCTCGGGGTGGTAGGGCCGGGCACCGCGGACTCGTCCCCGCGGCTCCCCGGGGCGCCGGCATGGCGGTGGCTGGGGGGCTTCTTCGTGGCTGTCTCTCCTCCTGCCTTGGTGGGGGTCTGATTTCCGGGGCTGGCCCTGCCTTGGTGCCTTCGCTTCTGGGGTCCCCTTGGGCGCTTGGGGCTTTGGGTCTCCCGGCGCTGGACTCAGTGCTCTGGGGGGTGTGCCTCTCCGGCTCTCCGCAACCACTATTGAGCATTTTTTCTATGGTTAAACTTTACATGCACAAGTTCACCCTCACAAACAACTACAGGTGCTAGGCTTCAGGTACTTGGAGATTCACTTCCAAACAGAAACCCCACATTCATATCTTCAGGTAACACAGAGTACATGTCAGACTTAATAATATTACTTTAGCGATAGTTTCAAGGTGTTTGCTTTATTGTATATCTCGTACCATGTCTTTTGGTTGTGCTGTTCTTTTTTTTTTTTTTCCATCTCATTACAGGTGTTGAAGCAGACTGAAAATGTTTTGTCATTGTCTCCTTCCTATCTCCTCTTTCTTTCATCTTTTGTCCTGTTTTCTTTTCTTTTTCTTTTTCCTTCTTCTTCTTCTGTTTTTCTGCTCTACTTACATTGCAGTGTCCATATGAACTGTAAAACTCCCTGCATAATTATAATAAAGCAATTTATATACATGGAACAAGTGGAGCAGTATGGCAATTGCGATACCGCTACACTTGTGAAAGTAAAATCTGTTGGGCTCCTTTTGGCATCAAGACAATTATTCTTATTGCCACCTTGCCAGACAGGACACTGTAAAAAAAAAAAAAGAAAACCATCATAAGTCAGGAAAAGCCGTGCATACACTGTATGATTTTTTTCCCTTTTCGGGCCGATTAGCCTCTCACGATACCTCCCAGTCAGGCAGGTGGGCAGATCCTGCTGTTGAAGCAGAGCTACGAGCCGATTTACCAGAACATAAAGCACTGTGCATGTGCAAACAAGGGAGTTCTTCTTCTTCCAGATCGACGAGTCTGACCAGCGCAATCTCTCGGCGCTGAGTCCGACGTGGGGTTTTTAGACATACAGCGTGAGCAGTTGATCGTGTCAGAGCGTCAGGTCGCACAGAGTGAAAACATGCATTGTTAGCTGTGAACTTTTAAACTCTGCAGTTTCATACTATAGTTTCAGTTGTAGCTGTGTGCAATGATTGAAAATATGTGTATGCCCGGCTTTAAGCTCCAAATGTTTTTGATGTTTAGTACAGGATAAATGTGCTAAGTGACCAAAAGAAAGAAACTAATAAATGTCCTAAAGATAGTCCTTGTTTGTTGGCTTATTGAAGTCCTTTTCATTTAAGGCCTCTTTTAAACTCCCCACAGGGTAAAGTGTCATCTTTGGTTAGTTAAAATCGTAGGGAACCACGATGTTCCAACTGTTGCCGTTCCAAATTCTCTTGAGTGGTGCCTGAATTTACAGAGAGTAAAGTGAATGTGACTGGTCGATTATGAAGGGGCCGGGATTGTTGTGGCGGAAGGTTCGCAAGCAAGTCTGGTGTGTCGGAAGCATCTTGCTAACCAGTTAGCAATTTAGTGCTAGTAGGTTCCCAATGGGAAATTCCATTGGGACGAAGTAGCACTAAATAGGTGACTTAGAAACGACGCTGTCAAGGAACGCTATGGACAGGGGGACATGCAAGAGGAGGAGAGTTTAGTGTCAGAGGTCGTGGATGAGCCTCCTCTGTCATCCATTTTTTATTTAGAGGAGGAAAGCGGGGACGAAGATGTTGTGGAAGAGGACGCCAGGGCGGCAGAAGCTTGGTTTGGTGTAGAAGGCTTCCAGCCGTACATGTTTGAGCCCTTGCCTCGCAACGCTGCCAGTTCTGTTAGCTCTACGCCTGCCGAAGACACAGACGTCCACACTGGGACGGAATGCAATGGGAAAGTACATAATGATTCTTATTTCTAATTTCAATCGTTGTTTATATTAGCTGCGACATATGAATCAAGATGCTATGGCCGAAAAAATTTGATTGACGGTTGACCGTTATATGATTAGCCGTATTTAGGTGTTCAAGCTGAGGTATAACTAACTGACCGAATTTAAGACAGGATTTTTTCTAACTTTTGGGACAATATTGTCTGGTAAAGAGTACATTTATATAAATGTTTAAGCCAGAATGATTAGAAAGTTAAATATGATAACTTTAAGCAAAATACATCCAGATAGTAAAACTTTTGTGTAGCTCAAACTACTAAAACTAGAGACTAGCTGAGGAAGCCGGTGTCATACTCACCAGCACTTTGGGGAGAAGGAATGGTTGAGTCCTACTGGACCAGGCTCTTTCTTACTGAGAAGGAACTCCTGCAGCTTTAGCTTGACTTCTGTGCTGGCAATGGCGCCTTCCAAAACACAAACATCCGGCGATCAGGATGTTAAACTGTCTTTACATTCACATGGCTATTTTAGGTGTAGCCACTGATGGCAGCACTGTAACCTACTCTCTTTGCTTTTCTCTTTGTTCCTCAGCAGCAACAGTTGTTGTTCCATTCTCTGTTTCTCCTGTTCTTCGTGCCTTTGTTGCTCCAGTTTCCTTTTGTGCTCCATCTCTTGTTGCCGTTTTGCTGCCAGCAGCTCCTGTTGTTGCTAACACACACAAAAACACATGTAGAACCTGGGTTACAGGTTGCTTCTGGAGAAGATGGATAAACCCTTAGAAGTGGTGGCTGTACTGAGAATGTAAGCTACCTTTAGGTGCTCTTGTAACTGAACCTCATGTTGTCTTGTCAACACTTCATGTTTTTTCTGAAACTCAGCAAACAGCAGCTGTTTCTGGAGTTCCTGCTGCTGTTTGAGGAGCACCAGCTCCTGCTGAAGCTGTTGCTCTCTCAGGGTTGTGTCCATTGCTCCGCCACCAGACAGAGACCCCACCCTGGGCTCTGTTCTCAGGTCGACTGGGCATCCACCTCCACCTGGGCCTTCTCCAGAACCACCGCCTGGACAAAACATTACAGACAGTTCTTCAGGTTCCTTCACAAACATAAAGGCCTGAACCGGTGCGTATGAATTATTAAAGGTATAGTGGAGGAGGTTCTTTTTGTGGGTGGATCATCAAAATTCTTTCTTGTGATATATTTATGTAAGGCCATCCTAGGTGCTCGTCCCCATTTTTACAGTGGTGAGTCTGACATAGTGGAAAAATTACAAATCTTCTTTTGTAAAGTAAGCTTGCATGAGCGATGCAAACAGCAACTTTTAAACAGAGTGTACAAAAGGAGAAATAGGCTTGTGCAGGCTTTGCAGGCATTAAATGAACATTCCCTCTCAGGAGCACGTACAGGGTCACGCAGGTGCATTTTAAGTGGGGACCTGGGTCTTTTAAAAAATTTGCTAAGATCCTCCACAATACCTTCAATCTCCAACCCAAATTTTTTTCCATGTCACACTGACTACGTAAAGAGAGACTCCAACTAGGCAGGGTAAGCAGATCTGCGGATTTTTTTCACTGTTGTCTCTGTGCCACACAAATTTAAACAATTTCCCACATTTGCCTTTGAAAGATTATGAAAAGCACTGGCGTAACTTTCTGATGGACTGGTGGGGACATGAGTCCAATCTTGAAATGGGTGGGGACAGTCCCCACCAATAATTTGTACATTTGTATTCGGCTCATTTACTTTAGCCATCAACAATTACCTCAGGACGCGCCTGGCTGTCTGTATTCTGAGAGTTTTCAGTCAGCGTTTCTTTCTCGCTATCCCACTGCTCCTGTCGCTATTCACCGCGTCATCACTAGCTACATGATTGGAGGAGAGACGACACACAGTGCACTATCACTCATTAATATTTACCAGCAGCTACTTCGGCTTTTATTTCGAATAAAAAAATAGTAGACGGGTTGGTTTGAAAAAAAAAAAGATGCCACCGAAAAAGTCGTCAGATATACGGAGCTTTTTCAACAACAAAAAAGAGTGTAAGTAGCCTTGAAAATTAGTATTGTAATGCAATAAGTTTGACAAAAGCAGGTGTTTAAATAGCGTGTTCTTTGCTAGTTAAAAAAAGCAAATCTCAGCTCCTCACAGGACCATGACTAGGGGTGTAAATAATAATCGTTTTGTATCGATGCATCGATCCAACAGCCGACGATCCGATGCATCGACACGTGCGCAAGAGAATCGATTCATGTTTTTTCCCCCTCCGGTCTATTTTTATCCATTTTCTCCTGGGCGTAATTCTCCCTCCCGTGCTGCGGTTGTGCTAAACCTATTTTGCCCTCCTAGCTCGCTTCCTGGTTATACTCTTACAGCAGTGTGTTGCAGTGAGCTTGACACAGACGTTTTTGATTTATGCTCAATATGGAAGCGTGGTCTGTGCTACACTGTGGGTCTAGATACGGCCGAGGCGGCGAGGAAGTGGGGGCGAGTCCGACGACCGAGGGACATGAGGGCCAAAAAGATCGGAGATCCAGGAGGAAAAAGGGTCCCAACGTTCTCGCGCACCTCACTCTTCTAGCGGGTCAAACTTCAGGAGTTGTTTTCTGCAATTTCGGTCATAAAAACAAAACTAGCCGGCCTCCTGTCTGCGGCACTGTCAGCTACAATTTGGGAGAGGAGCAGCGGAGCGTCTGTGGAGGGGGCGGGACGTCTGGAGCCGAGGCATTGCACTGCACTCATTGCTCTGATTTTGTGCATTTTTTTTTGATGCAACTTTTCTACTTCTGTTATGTGCTGTTTTTTCTTAAAAAAATGCATAACGACATTACAGCTTTCATTGATTTATTTGAAATTTGAAACATTGTCTAGCCTGTAAGGTGTAAAAAAAAAAAATTAACCAATTAATCGAATCAAAACGAATCGTGGTGTATTCTTGAGTATCGAAAATAATCGAATCATTGGATCAGGAAATCGATACTAAATCGAATCGCCATGATAGATGTGATTTACACCCCTAACCATGACTCAGAGTTAGTCTGATTTAAAAAATGTAGCAGAGTGCAGAGGTTCTAGATATATCAAGGAAAAATCTTCTAGATTTTTTAAGTCATGCAGAGGTAAATTGAAAATATGTTTCTTAGCTTCTTAGATTAGTCGACATCTTCATGAAATGTATGTTTCAGGAGTGATCAGAGACAGATTGAGGGACAGCTGCAGATTTCAAGATAAAAACGATTTACTGGGATATGCAACAAGCAATAAAATCTGGCTGAAAAAGTACTTTGCAAGAAAAAAAATCTATATTAAAAATGTAACATATCTTTTTGTCTTTTGTAATTCAGCAAGACTCAGAAATAGCTGTTCCAACAAACTCAGACCCAGATGCAGAGTCAGAATCACAGGTAAGACCGACTAAGGAAGCTACAAGAATCAAAGCACAAACAAGAGTGTGCAAATCAGTTAATCAATGAATTGAAATAAAACTTTCAATACTGAGACTTTTGCTGTTAGAGATATGTGGGACACAATTCAAAAGTAGATTTTGCTGCTCCTGTGATGGAGGATAGTACAGCTGAAAGGCACATTGAAATGATTGTGTGCTTTCAGATGTTTTTCTCAGCTTTTAGTGTATAAATCCAATATCAAACTATCTGATATAGAGAGGATTTTGTTAACAGCCAAATATCAGCAGTAAAATAGTTTGGTTGTTAGGATTTTTGATGTTATAATATAATCGGTTGTTACACAAGAGACAAATACGTTCATATTTTAAAGTCTAAAAAATAAATTTTCACTTACATCTATTCGTAAGAGTTTTCCTGTTTTTATTTGTTATTTATGTCGCTGAAGTTTCTGAGCCATTACAAAAAAGCCACTTTAATGAACCAGTCTATCTGTACATTATAACATTTTTATTTTGTTACTGTTTTATTCTCAGCTATATGAAAGCAGTGAATCCATCCATCCATCCATCTTCCTCCGCTTATCCGGGGTCGGGTCGCGGGGGCAGCAGCTTAAGAAGGGAGGCCCAGACTTCCCTCTCCCCAGCCACTTCTTCCAGCTCTTCAGGAGGAACCCCAAGGCGTTCCCAGGCCAGCCGAGAAACATAGTCTCTCCAGCGTGTCCTGGGTCTTCCCCGGGGCCTCCCCCCGGTGGGACGTGCCCGGAACACCTCACCAGGGAGGCGTCCAGGAGGCATCCTAAACAGATGCCCAAGCCACCTCAACTGGCTCCTCTCGACGTGGAGGAGCAGCGGCTCTACTTCGAGTCCCTCCCGGATGACCGAGCTTCTCACCCTATCTCTAAGGGAGAGCCCAGCCACCCTACGGAGGAAACCCATTTCGGCCGCTTGTATCCGCGATCTCGTTCTTTCGGTCATGACCCAGAGTTCATGACCATAGATGAGGGTAGGAACGTAGATCGACCGGTAAATCGAGAGCTTCGCTTTTTGACTCAGCTCTCTCTTCACCACGACGGACCGGTACAGCGCCCGCTTCACGGCAGACGCTGCACCAATCCGCCTGTCGATCTCCCGCTCCCTTCTTCCCTCATTCGTGAACAAGATCCCAAGATACTTAAACTCCTCCACTTGGGGCAGGACACCCCCCCTGACCCGGAGAAGGCACTCTACCCTTTTCCGGCTCAAGACCATGGCCTCGGATTTGGAGGCACTGATCCCCATCCCGGCCGCTTCACACTCGGCTGCGAACCGATCCAGCGAGAGCTGCAGATCACGACCCGATGAAGCCAATAAGACCACATCATCTGCAAAAAGCAGAGACGCAATCCTAAGGCCACCAAAACGGATCCCCTCAACACCTTGGCTGCGCCTAGAAATTCTGTCCATGAAGGTAATGAACAGAATCGGTGACAAAGGAGTCCAGCTCTCACCGGAAACGAGCCCGACTTACTGCCGGCAATGCGGACCAGACTCTGACACCGGTCATACAGGGACCTGACAGCCCGTATCAAAGGGCCTGGCACCCCATATTCCCGGAGAACCCCCCACAGGGCCCCCCGAGGGACACGGTCGAACGCCTTCTCCAAGTCCACAAAGCACATGTAGACTGGTTGGGCGAACTCCCATGCACCCTCCAGGACCCTGCTGAGGGTGTAGAGCTGGTCCAGCGTTCCACGACCAGGACGGAAACCACACTGCTCTTCCTGAATCCGAGGTTCGACTATCCGACGGACCCTCCTCTCCAGCACCCCCGAATAGACCTTGCCGGGGAGGCTTAAGAGTGTGACTCCCCTGTAATTGGAGCACACCCTCCGGTCCCCCTTTTTGAACAGGGGGACCACCACCCCAGTCTGCCAATCCAGGGGGACTGCCCCTGATGTCCATGTAATGTTGAAGAGTCGTGTCAGCCAACACAACCCTACAACATCCAGGACCTTGAGGAACTCCGGGCGGTCTCATCCACCCCCGGGGCCCTGCCACGAGGAGCTTTTTAACCACCTCGGCGACCTCGCCCACAGAGATTGGAGAGCCCATTCCAGAGTCCCCAGGCCCAGCTTCCTCAATGGAAGACATGTTGTGGGATTGAGGAGGTCTTCGAAGTATTCTGCCAACCGACCCACAACGTCCCGAGTCGAGGTCAGCAGCACACCATCCCCACTATAAACAGTGTTGGATCTGCACTGCTTCCCCCTCCTGAGACGCCGGATGGCGGACCAGAATCGCTTCGGAGCCGTACGGAAGTCTTTCTCCATGGCCTCTCCAAACTCCTCCCACACCCGAGTTTTTGCCTCAGCAACCATCCGAGCCGCATGCCGCTTCGCCCGCCGGTACCCATCAGCTGATTCCGGAGTCCCACAGGCCAAAAAGGCGCGATAGGCCTCCTTCTTCAACCTGACTGCATCCCTCACCGGAGGTGTCCACCAACGGGTTCGAGGGTTGCCGCCACGACAGGCACCGACAACCTTGCGGCCGCAGCTCAGATAAGCTGCCTCGACAATGGAGGAACGGAACATGGTCCACTCGGACTCAATGTCCCCCACCTCCCCCGGGATGTGTTCGAAGTTCTGCCGGAGATGGGAGTTAAAGCTCCGCCTAACAGGGA